GAGAATGAAGTCACCACTATAGCGTTGGCCCCAGCGTGGTGTTTGACACGCGGGGGGCCCAAGTGGCCATCTGCGCAGCTACAAGGGCACACCCAAAACAGAAGGAGATATTCCCATAACTCTTCCAGCCAGGGTGGAGGACTTTTGCGGGGGGAGGAAAACAAAGCGGCGGGAGAAGGCAACCGGTGCCAGAGCAACAGAGGGGAGTGGAGACCTGCAATTACAAGAGCCAGCGGAAGAGCCTACCTCTCCTTCTCGCACAGAACCAGGCTCTTGTGAAGAAGTAAAAAGAAAACACGATCACGTTTCGGCGGTCTTTTGTGTGGGCCCGAGTGTTCGGTTCCTATAGCTTTTGTATATGAATCCCAGAGAAGAATCTAGAGTCTTAGCTGCAGGGTTGAGTCAAGCTATTCCCACAGGGCTCAATAGGCCCAGCTATTCCAGTAATGGCAGCAGAAAAGCTGTGGACAAACATTTACGGTTGGCCAGATTGAGGTTTAAAGAGGCTTCCCCCAACCCCCCCTGTCCTTGTTCAATTCCCTGGGGTTTTGTGCGATACCATTCACAGCACTCCTTCACTCAGTGTCTCCGACTCTGTCCCCTGTCCTCTGCTCGCATAGACAACACTGACCCTGAGTAAATGAACTCTGGCATTCCTGGGCAAGGAGAAGTGTTTTGGAGCTGGGCTTTGGGGCTCAAAAAAAAAGAAAAATCAAGTAAAAACTCCAAAGGGAACCTTAAACATGTGTGACAGAATACACTGCTAAGCAGTTTCATGTATGACATGGCACTTGTTGATCAATGTACCCACAACGGCAAACTTTTCTTGTGTATGCTGCTATTAGATGTAACTTTAATTAATTAGCCTTATACTCTAATACTACAGGACAAGTGCAAACGCGTGTGAAGTATATTAAGTTAAATAGGGCATAACGTTTTTGCTATAAGGCTTGTGTCCTTGAAATCGACAGGTCGCTACCATGCCGTTGTTTGTTCTGGGAGTTGTAGCTTATTCAATCTACAAAATTGTATTAAAGTATTGTTTTCTAGTGCGTTTTCACGAAAAAAGAAAGAGGAGAACAAAATGATCAACATGACTGTATTGTACATTGTAAATGTATTGTAAAGTCAAAATGTATTGGTATTTGTTAGGGGTCAAAAAAGTGTTTGCTCTCCCGCTTGCTGCACACACTATGTGTTTAACATGGCGCAGACATGTAATGTGGAACCAATGACGACCATATTACTGTAAATAAGCATCTATCGGGAAATAAACCCTGAAAGAATCTGGGGATTGGTTGCTTGGATTTAGTTTGGTAGTGACAACAAAGAGGGGGCTGAAGATTTACATTTACTATCTTTATAATAAGGAGTCGGCACTAGTATCTTGTTATGTTAGTACACAGGAGCTGATCACCTCCTGTTTCCTTTAATTTCAGGAGATCAGTTGTATCACCTTTCATAGGAGAACACACCCTGGGGCATGGGTCTCATCAAACAAGCTGAGCTTGGTCAACATAGCATCTGTTAGTTGTTACTTAGTATTTACTCATTGGTCTGAACACAGAGGACTTTTAAATGAAGAGTTCGATCAACTCCTGGGTCTCATAGACAATTTGTGATTTCCTTTAGAGACCTTTCCAAGAGGGACAACAATCCCCAACGAAAGCTTGTTCACCCGATTGCTTTCAATTTGTCTAAGAGCCGGGCATTCTGGTACATTTAGACTCTTAGAGGAATGAGTCCCTCTTCTACAATGTATTACTCCCTGTTTGACGTTTGAATTCAGATGCAAAATGGCAACGGCAAAGACAAAGCTAAACTTTTACTAACAATATTTGTGAGCTGAAGAGACTTCTACTTCAATTTCCATAGTATACGTGCATTAACGGGAGGTCAATCTCCAAAACTGTTTTGATTGCTTTTTTTGCTTTTAATTTGACTTTATTTGATCTAACTAAAATATCTCAGATAATATCTCAAAACCTATTGCCTCACCACGGTACCACTCATGTTTAAAGGTCTCAATCCCTGGTAAAATACAGTACAGTAATCCCTCGTTTATCGCGGGGGTTACGTTCCGAAAATGACCCGCGATAAGTGAAATCCGCGAAATAGAAAACTTTTTTTTTTTTACAATTAGCAACTATTACATGTATACAAATACAGTGACTCGCGTGTAGGCCGTTTCACTGCTCTTCAGACTGGGCCGCTGCATCCTGACTGCGCTCTGCAGTGTTCTCTTCTTCTGAAGCCCGCGGTGCAGGTGTGTTTGTTCGAGAGAAGAACATAGTGATAGGCAGCTGTTGTCGCTCTTTTTTCTTCTTTGCAAAAAGATCCTTGTACACCGACATGCCACCATCGATTACGTTGGAGAACTGTAATGAACGGCTCGGGAGTGAGTTTTTAGCGAATCAGAATGCAGAGCACAATGCACCAAAAAAAAAAAATGCAATATGAAAATCCGCGAAATAGCGAATCCGCGATAAGTGAACCGCGAAGTGGCGAGGGATCACTGTATATCAATGCCCGTCAAAAATGTTTAGAATGTCACAGATATAAGTTGTTCTGGTCTCATTAGTGTTTAGGTACTAACCAAAACTTTCAAGAATTAAACAATAAAAAATAAATGGTCTGTTGTCATCTTGGCGTTTTCTTTTCCTGTAGGAGAAGGCTGGGGAAAAGACAGTAGTGCCACAATGTTAGTCAAGTTACAAGTTTGTAACTGTTGAATGATCAGAGCAACCCCTAAATAAACACTAAGGTCAGTTTTTTGTCCTCTGGGGCCATTTTTACGAGCTGGAGTTACTTGGAGTTGCTCTACATAGGGCCATTTGTGTTTTGGGGTCACACGACTCAGTTCTGCATGCCTGGTGTTCATTTTTTCAGTTGGTCACGGCGAGCAAAGCCAACTCCTTGTTGGTTTAATTGTTAAAGTGTGCTTATTTTATTGTATCTCATGTTAGGAGTAATTCACCATCTTTAGGTTTTTGGCATTTCTTCATTTCAATCAACTCTTAGTTTACGTTTCTTCATCTTAATCATTCATTGGGTTTAGGAACCAAACGCTTTCATATTTGAAGGAAGAGGACGCAGCTACGTTCCTGCTAACCTACAAATAATTGACTTAAGAAAAGTTTTTTTTTAACCTGAATTCTATGTAGTTTTTAACTGAGGGCTGCTGCTGGGTTTGCTTGCAGTGGCAGGACAACTGCACCTAAAAGGAAGCCGAAGTATCACAATTCAAACTTCAGGTTTTTTAGTTTTGGAGGCGCTTAATTTGGTATGCAGCACAGCACGCGCTTTAATATTGCAAATCAATTATGTTCATTTGATGTTGGGTAGCCAAAACCGTGATTATTCAATATATGGGATGTTCTTGAGCAGATTCAACAATGACTAGCGTCTGATTTGTGGCTTTCCTTTACATGGCAGTCACTAAAACTGCTGCTAATTTGGAAATGAAAGATCGATGTTGTGTGGCGTCAACTTAGCATGACAGAAACTGAAACAAGTGCTGTACTTCGCATTCCGGGTCAGGGCGGCCTCCGCGGGACTGTTTTGCATTTAAAAAGTCACAGATTGAAACTGCCGGGGCAGCCCACCTCAGTTTGTGCTGCGGAGGACATTTGACTCCGCCTGTGCTTGTGTGATAGATTTGCAATGCAAATGTGGGCCGAGGGACCTGTTTGTACGCCCTGCAACATTCCCCTGCGGGGCACATCACAGGTTTGAATGGGGGTACACGCCTATAACCTCCAGCAACTGTGCAACCTCCACCCGCATCCGCTCACAAGTGGGAGGTGTTTGTTCAACGAGAGAAAGTGGCTGAGATGATTTTTTGAACATTTTCGGATGTTATTTTTGTCTTGTCTCTGTTTCTGTCTGGTGACCACGTGGTAATGTAGGCTTTGACCAACACTCTCAGGTGAATGCTTTGAACAGCGATGTCACAGGCATTCTAATCTCTTTAAAAAAATAGTTTGTCAACAGGACAATTGTGGTGAGAACACATGCTGCACTCATGTCACACCAAAATAAATTATACATAGAAGCTCTGACTGTGATTAAGCACTATGCTCATATTTTAGAAACCAAATTACTTTGAAATGATTACAAAACACGCTAATTTATGATAACAAACCACAAAATTGGGTTTTTATTACCAAGGTTATCTGTGTTGCCAATATTTAACAATAACACAAACAACAGTTTCCTTGCGTATATCTCCAACCCAAGATCGGTCACATCCAAATTACTGTTTATTCTGTCCAATCGTCACGGTCTCGATCTTTTGGCTCGTGTCAAAGCTCGCCATCAGCTATGATCATGCAATACGTTGCATAATCATAGTTACGTAGGTCTAATCAGGTCTACTGCATTCTAAATCCGGTTTAATTATCCTCAAGTTTGATCTGGCTAATCTCAGGTTAAAAATTAGGAAACCAGGTCAGTTTGGGAATTTCAAAAAGATAGGACCTCCTCCAAAACCGTAGTTCTTACACCACATATATTAGCGTTCCCATTGTACGCAAATCATTAGTCTGGGATCTAGTTTGGGTGACAATACTACCAAAAATATGAAACTAGACCTTATTATATACATAGTCATTCAGGGGAACATTTTCATATAAAAGTCCCTGAAGCCGTGAACAAAAATAACTTTAATATTACATTTGTGTGGCTTGTGTGTAGCTTGCATTACCTATCATAGCGAAAACATATACCTACGTTTAAAACCTTCATATTTCAAAACGATGGTTGCCATTCAAAACCAAATGAATTATCTCGTGATTTGATAAAATATCGTTTCAGTTATTTGAAAAAAAAGCGATACTCTCTTGTTTGTTTGTGAGATTCATGATACCGACGTACCGTGAACGTAGCGCTACATCTATTGTTCACTCCCTTTCCACAAACCCCGCCCACGCTGCGCCGCACCGGCCGTGATTGGTTGAATCTGAGTGCCGTGCCGTCATCGCTTGGAGCGCCCATTCATCTCTTCACTTGGGCGTTGGACTGTGCATCTTAATAGCAACAAGGGAAATTTCTCCATTTTGCAGCCTGTCTGCAGCGACACGACCGACCGTGGATTTTATTGCTTGTCCCTAACCTATCAGCCTTTTCCTGCTCTCCGGAAAAATCCTCAGTGGCACTCAACTGGACTTTGATTTCACGTTTTCCCAAGTGAACTTTTTTTTCCTCTCTGTGCAGAGGGAGAAAGAGAGTGAAAGAGGGAAGACAGCAGCGAAGAGCTTTGCGTTGCAACAAAGAGGCTTGTGGGGTCTTTGTTCGTTTTTTGTGTGTGTGTGTGTGTGGGGGGATCGGTTGAGTTTCTTTGTTGGAGCTACAAGCATGGGAGCGCAATTGTCCAGGGCAGCCGTAAAGGCTGAAGCCGTGGCTGAAAAGCCCGGAGAGGCTGTTGCTTCCTCGCCCAACAAGACCAACGGACAGGTAAATTACATTTTATCATCCAGCTTCCATCGCATCCATCTGGGCGGGTGGTGGGGGAGGGAGGGGGGGCGGGGGTATTTGTCGGGCTGCGCTGTTAGGGTGCAAATCCGTGCGTAAATCATGGATATATTGAATGGAGATGCGCGGTTGAGGTTTAAATTATTTTAAAATTGTAGTCTCCGATCAACAGTTGAGCACCTGATATGTTTGTTGTTTCGTGAGAACCGAATAATTTGGAGAAAACCTGACAAAATAGTTTATTTATGACGATACAATTTCAGTTGTAAGGTTATTGATTGGTATTATGTGTTTAGATTTAGTTCCTGGACAAACGTGCAGTGCAATTATCATGAAAAGGAAGAGCTTCGAATGAAGTCGCCACAACTGAATAAAAGACGAGATGGGCAACAAAAGGGCCGTGAGCGCTCGGAGCGTCGCTCCTTTTGTTACAGATGCTCGACGAGAAAGTGGAGATGGCAGCCTGCTGTCGCGCCGGGAGACAGTGGTGCGCCCCGGAGGGGGAGGGGGGCTTGTGCTGTTTCTAATCGTTCCTTTCCTCCCCTCCTATAGTTTGGAAAAATAAACAATTAGATACCCCATTTACCTTTTAAACAATTTTTCGTAAATGCACCTGAACTCCCCCTCCCTGATCCGCCGGACTAATGAGCGTCTGCTTTGCTCTGCGACCAGAAACCGACCCCCTCGTTGTTAATGAAAAAAAGAGGGATTTAGTTGTGTTTTTGGTTGGTTTTGATCTATCCGAATAAAGTCTTGAAAGTAGAACCCGAGTCCAGCATTTAGGCCTTCGGCTTTCGATGGTGCCTGCTGCCCCTAGTGTCCACCGGCGGCACTGCCCGGCTCTGGTTGAAACCCATAGCAGGCTCTCTGCATTCCATTAACAGCCACTGCTTTGCTCTCTTTAGGAAAACGGACATGTTAAGGTGAACGGGGACACCGCGGCCGAGAACGGCAAGGAGGAGGTGCAGGCAAACGGCAGCGCCGCGGCAGAGGATAGCCCCAAGGAGGAGGACGCCCCTGCAGAGAAGGAGGCCACAGATGGGGAGAAAGTAGAGGCAGCATCGCCCGCCCCCGCCGAGGGAGAGGTGGCGAAGGTGGAGGAGGGCACCGCTGCCACCCCGTCCGCCAGCAACGAGACCCCCAAGAAGAAGAAGAAGCGCTTCTCCTTCAAGAAGTCATTCAAGCTCAGCGGTTTCTCTTTCAAGAAGACCAAAAAGGAGACCGGGGATGGAGCGGAGGGCGAGGAGGTTGCGGCTGCTGATGATGCTGTCGCTGCGGCATCCACAGAGGAGCCCAAGGCCGAGGGCACGGAGGAGGCCAAGGCTGCCAGCGAGGAGGCCAAGCCTGCTGAGGGAGAGGCCGAGCCCGCCAAGGAGGAGGTAGTGGTCAAGCCAGAGGCAGCAGAGAAGCCCGTTGAGGAGGCCGCGCCCACCCAGGAGCCAAAGGCAGAGGAGCCCAAGGTGGAGGAGAAGCCGGCCGAGGAGGCGCCCAAAACGGAGGAGGCCTCACCGATCTCGCAGGATGCGGCGTCAGCAGCGGAGGCCCCGGCCGCAACCGCAGAGGCTACCGAATAAGTTCCAATGAGGAAAGAAGGGAGAAATTTCAAAATGAAAAAAAATGAAAAAAGAAAGATAATCAAAGAACATTTCCCTGTTCGTATATTGGAGTGACGCCAGGTCCTGGCTTTGAAGAACTTGTCAACAACAAGGGATATTTTAAAGCTTTTCTTTATTTTTTGATTTTTTTTTGTTTCCATTCCCCCAAACCCTCCTTTACACAAAACCCATCTCGACCCCTTGTTACTTCCATTCCAACGGGCTCTAGGGAGGTGGGTGGCTTCAATATGTACAACTGATGAAATACATCCACACTCCGCCATATATTTCTTTCATCAGTATTACATTTTTTTTCTTTTTGAATTTTTATACGATTTTAACAAAATGGTATGGACATGCCCATGGTATGAAGGAGGCTGGGGGGGGGGGGGACTATTGAGAAAAGAGTAGTCTAAAAAAAACTATGAGACCAACATTGATACACGCCCGAACGGTTTTTGCAATGCTAAATCATTTTTTAACAATAAAAACATAAAAATCCCAGATCTAGGTTTCTCAATAGGAAGTCATATAAACGCATAGGAGCTTTTCACTTCTCATTAGCTGTACCAGTCAGTGATTCAGTAGAAATACCAGTTGTATAGACTTTATTGTTTACTGTCGATACTATGACCTTAATAAAAAAAAATGTAAGTATGTATAGGCGGGGTGTTTTTAACTGTGATTATTGTACAAAATGAAAAAAAAATCTTGACCAAGAAGCACATGAAGATTGCAGCTCTTTTTTCCACCCGCTCATTTTTGTAAGATAACAACGCAACATACACACACAAACACACAAGAAGTCATCCCGAGGGACTTTCTTAAGCAATTTTGAAGTCAAAACCAAGCTGTGATAAGTGGAATGGTTAACTGTTTATATACTGTGGTATGTTTTTTGATTACAGCAGGCGATGCTTTTTCAGTGGTCTTTGACAAAAATTTAAGGAATCTATCAGATGCAAATGTTTGTGTAGCATCTTGTCTCTCATCACTCTTTTCCTTGTGTAAATACTGGAGAAGCTTTGACCAGTTTGACTTAGAGTTGGAATGTAACTTTGCTTACAACAAAAAAAAATGATATTAAACTCCTCTGCTTAAGGTGTTCTAATTTTCTGTGAGCACACTAAAAGCGACAATAAATGTGAATAAAAATTTGCGGTGCATTTGTCGTTATTTGTTAAAGTCCAACTCTCTTTTCGTTGACGTTGTTTTGAAACAGGAGTACTGTTGTGGAAGCTCTTATTACACGTTTTCCTTGAATTATATCCCAGTCCAGGAAGAACAGACAAAGAGCACACAAAAGTAGGGGTGTACACATACTTTGGGCCAATGCCATAATTTACTCTATACATGTACTGACTGCACCTCATACTACCCCGACCATCCCTGGTCCCAGTGACAGGTATTAGGCCGGATGTAATGAACACAGTGCATCAGTGTCTCCGTCTCTCCTGCACACTTACCTGTCGAGTGGCTACACTTCAAAGCAGGACATGCTCACCTGAATTTGTGCCTCCTACACTCAACAGGGCAGTGATGAGACTTCATTTGAACACTATCAGATTGCACAGTTTCTGTGCTAATAGAGCGCTATCATGACTCACCATCAGGGATAACAAAGGAGGTTAGGAGTTAAACAAAGAGACTCCACTCCTTAATAATGGATAATCAGAATCATTCCACTGGGCCTATGCAGACATGACTTGGAACCGTCAAAATTCAAATGACGAGCTGTGTCATCCCTACACAAAAGTGTTTAATCAAAGTTAAGTAATAGAATGCAAATCAATACGTTTTGGTCATGGTTTCATTTGATGTTCATCCCGATGAACAGTGTTCATAGATCAGATGTTGGAGCGACAATGATAGCAACCATGTATTTAGTCAGTCGCTGTGTTTTATCTATAACTTCAGTTTGTGAAGTGACTTTGTACATTTTATGGCAAACTATTTAAATTCCAGTTACATCAAATAAAAATAAACAATCCTACCTCGGTCATGGGTGACGTTCGTCCTCTGTGGCTGTGCAGGAGCTTCTGTATGTAGAAACAGTAAATAGCAAACTCTACTAATGCTAGTGGATGAAATAAAAACAAACTGTTTTCCAGGGCCTTTCGTGCTGCTGTAACCTACACGGGACTCGGAGGAGTTTTAGTTGACTTACGTCGGCTATATTCACGACATGGCCAACAGTACGGATATTAGTTAACAATTAGGAGACACATTTTTTAGTTGGTCACGCCTTAAAGTCTGTCCGTCGGTCTGCTTTCATTAAACCAGCCCCCGGTGGACGACCACGTCATGTTGTGGTGATATTATGGCGTGCTGTGCAATTTCTTAAAAAATGTGAACTGCCAGCGCAATCGTATCGACGCGAGCGTGCCTCCGTTCATCGACACTCACATGTGATGAGCTCGAGGCTCTTATCCTCTGGGTTAGAGCTCCCCCGCGAGGCTCAAAGGATCATTACAAACACATCGAGTTCATTTCAAATTGGAAAAAAAAATTACCGCTCAAGGCTTAATTAATAATTAAAAAATATGGCAACCATTACCAGATTACTGTATGATAATACAACTATAAAACTATAATTAATACCACTTTAAGACTGTTAATTATAACTTTGAGGAAATAAAACCCTTATATAATTTGTATCCATTTTTTGTGTCAATGGCATTGTTACTGGAATAATGATGATTATTTTCTTTAATTAATAACACTGATTGTATAAATTATATTTGGTTTTTTTTGGGTGCAATACAGAATTTTTCATAATGTACAATGAATAGATGTTTCAATAATAATCAGGACAGGGAAATCAACAGTGTGTAGAATAGCAAACATTTCGATGAAGAAGTATTAATGTTTCATTGGTTGATACAAAGTATACAAATTGAAGCATTACATTTTTTTGGATCCATCTAGGTTTTTACTTAAAAAAAACACATCTTTAGAATATATTCTAAACACTTGGCCTATATTGGATGTTTTCAAGGGTATGAGAGGACATTTTCAGTAAATTGACAGGGAATAGCTTTAAGCATACAATTTCTCATTTGTTTTACATCCGAGATGTCAAAGGAAAAAAAAGTCCAAACTAAACTTCATTCAATCTGACCGGCTATCTTCTTTTATGGCAGGAAACAGATATCCCCCCTCCACTCTGTCCCCATGGGGGAGGTCTATGTCGATGTACAGTACCCTCTGGTGGTTCCAGGGAGAGAGGGACAACACAGCTCACTGTATGTTAAAGATACACTACCCAACAGTCAGCCTTCCCCACTGCAGTGATGGGAAACAATATTATGCAGAAGGAGATGATGGGTCACGTGACCTCATCCAGCAGCTGGTAAAGAAACTCACTTGATGGCCAGCACGGTGAATCCAGAGGTTTCAGATGTCTTTGCTGGGCGAACCAGCTGTGCCCAACAGAACACACCTGATCAATCTCTTAATTCTCCAGCATCTGAACTCCCCAGGAACCTACGCCAGAATCCTGTTTGTGGACTTCAGCTCTGCCTTCAACACCATCATCCCGTCTCTGCTGCAGGACAAACTCTCTCAGCTGCACGTGCCCGACTCCACCTGCAAGTGGATCACAGACTTCCTGTCCAATAGGAAGCAGCACGTGAAGCACACTGCACACGTCACTTGCACTTTTGGCACTTTTGTCCCTTTCTGTTCGCTGGTGCACTCTTTTATGTTTTTATTTTTAAATATTTTTAACTTTATTACTTTATTTTAAACTAACCCATAGCCTTATACTACTAACCCATAGCATTATTTTTTATTTTATAATTTTTTATTTTATTCCTCGTGCACTGTTGTCCTGTCGTCCATTGTCTTACTGTCTGCTGTTACGCACCAACCACCAAGTCAAATTCCTTGCATGTCTGACATATGGCAATAAATGTTTCCTGATTCCTGAATACATTTAAAAAAATGAGCAGGGGCCGTCTGAGCTCTGTAAAACCATTTTGCACTAACTCGTGTAAATAATTACATAATTAATTACCCTTGAAAAATATGTGACGTAACAATAATTGGCAGGAGTGGCGTTGTAAAAGTGTGGCTTTCTTAGTTTGAATTTACTACAAAAAGCCAGTGAGTCTGATGTCATAGGTTGACATCTTCTCTTTAGTGTACATCAGAGGTCTTCAACAGGGGGTCCGCGGAGGTACTGCAGGGGGGTCGGAAATTTTTTGGTTGATAAGACCATCTTTTTTTTTTTTCAACCAATTTCTTTCCCACAAATTTAAATGTCTTCAGAATCAGAATCAGAATTGTATTTATTGTCTTTAAATACACATTAACATGAATCCAACATATTGTGGCGAACGGATAAATTGATGGAGAAAACGTTATCTTTCAGTCTGCAAAACACACATTCAGCTTTCCACAGGAGCTCTCTCAAGCTGGGCACCGCTTCACTCACAGCACTTTACATGCAAATACAACAGCAACAGGGACTAGCCAATCAGATCGCGTTTATGCTCACGTCTATAGAGTGCGAAGCTCAAAATTAAAAGATGGCGGACCAAACACCACTCCATCTCGCCACCATTGGGGGACCTTGGCCTGAAAAACGTTGAAGACCCCTGGTGTACATATCTAATGATGCTGTCGGTTTTAGCCTAGTTGTGGAAAATGGTGACCTCCACCATACAGTAGATGGTGCACGATGCAAACTGTTTCCTCTATGTGTAGAGCATATACAGAGCTCAGCTAGTTGTGAATGCTTGTTGTGTCTGAACTGGTTAAAGCAGCCACTCAAGATTCAAGGTGTCGGGCTTTGTTCTTCTGCAAGCCACTGTATATGAAGAGGATGTACATTGAAATTTGACTTTTTTTTTAATCTTTTGACTGCCTAATGACATCCTACCAGCAACTTTACTATAGTTTCATATCTGTATGTCACAGACACAGGCACAGAAAAAGTTTTCATTCGACATTTAACTAAACACTTCCTGACTTAAAAACATAAATCCCTCAAAAATGTCTTTGGACAAAAGTCCTTCATTTTATAACATAAAGCTTTTATTCTGAAATGTTTGCCAGGCAATGTTGTGGATAATGCAGGGCTCGATTGTTTAATAAAGTTACAAATCATATTTATTCTTTATAAATGAGCTCACCCTTCCTAAACTTTTTTTTGTCTAAAACAAATAGAAATTGCCTTTTCTATGAACTGAAATGAACCCGGGGGAGAACCACATACAACATCTCACAACGCTGCGTCGGTCTGCTGAACTCGAACATGTCGTAGAGGAGTGTAGAAGAATCGTTTTAGCGATTTAAAAGTTCAGAAGCATGGTTGTGAGTCCCACTGATCCTATCCGGGATCCACAGGTGTTATGCCCTAAGTCAGTTTTAAAGGAAAACACATTAAAGCTGAGCCAAACTCCTTGTAATCTCACATACTTATTATTATTTGATTATACATTCCTGATTATCTGATGTATTAAAGAAGGCTCCACATTGCTTCCTATTAAGATGTTCATGTTATCTATTCTCTTCTCCTCAGTGGTGCTTCACAGGTCGTATTGCATGAACATACCGACACACATACTGTATACTAACATATGGTATACAGTACACTGTGGTGATAACTAATTCTGCTTTTGGATATATATATATATATATATATATATATATATCTAATTTATTTTTTACAATTGTCATTTTAAAATGACCTTCGATTGGTCCTATGATCACACATGACAAATGCTTGCTGTGCAGTGTGCATGAACAGCTCCGCCCAAAAGATAAAAACATGGCCAGGCCATTGTGATGACACCTCTGTAAATGAATACGGTAAGAACGCCATCTCAGCAGATACTGTGACTAATTATGTCCTCAATGACCTGAAAAAAAGTGATTCTTCCTGGGAGGAGGGCAACTCTGACGGTCAGGAGGACTGTTTTCTATCCAGCGGGAGAGGAGTGAGCACTCAGTCCACTGATTCAGGGCGGCCTGTGCACACTGGGCTGGCGCATTTTGCTTTCATAGCTTCAAACATGCCACTGACTTTCAGGGTCTTAAGTTTGCACTAACCAACATGGCTCGGATTTATACTGCTGCATTAACACAATGTCTTTTGTGTCCTTTTTACATTGAACACATGAGTGGCTGTTAAGACAGCAGCATTTTTCTTCTGTTAGATTATTATCTCACCGACAAAAATGCATTGCATCCACAGTGAAAGCCAAAAGGAAGACTAGCCTAATTAACATAAGACTAACTAATACATGAAAAACATCAATATATCTCTGCCCTGGCCAGGTTTAAACGTATGGTTGCTTCAACAGAAAGAATCACTGCACTTCATTTTGCTGCCGCTCCACACCACCAGGTGTCAGCAGCATTACATGTGTAACACCATTATCCATGAGTGAGAGGATGCTGGTCCCAGACATGAACTGGTTCTCCCACACAGAAATTCTACTCAGGTTTAGTGTTGCGTCCAGTGTGAGCAAAAGAATGAGACATGCAAATATTGATGCCACTCCTTGTCGTCTACGCTAGATTATTCACATGCTCCATCTGGATCTTCTTCCTGTCTGTGTGTGTCCTATTCTGTACAGGTTAGAGAGCCCTTAGCAGGAATTCTGTGATTTATGTTATTAGAAAATTGTAATTGACTTGACTGCTCTCATGTCCATGTGTTTCAATCATGGAGCTGAAGAAAGTAGCATTGTTTAGCCATAGAGAGGACATATCAAGGCACATTTTAGATTGATACTTCAAACAAACGTAGTGCGTTGTCTTAGTCGAGAGTTAGTGGTTTGGTTTCCAAGATGTTGAACTGTTCAATGGCCAATTAAAAACCAAAGCAAACAATAAATTAGCGGACAAATGTTTACACATTCTTTTAATTGAACCATTTTTTGACAACACACTTATGATACAGAGGGAGTATTTGCACAGTCACAGACACATCTTGCTAATCAGCATAGAATGAACAGTTGGCTTGACGACAATCATCAGAGGACAACCCTTCCCCCCACTTATGGCTGTTGTGCCAGAAACCGACTTACGTTAAAAAAACAAAAGCTTAAATGCTTTACGGGTTTGAGTCAAGCTTTAAATACTAGAACCAGTTTTGATAAACCGGTTCTGTTCATCAGACTGGGTGCCGGGTTGGGAATGACAAGAGGTCACCTTCAAATGGATTCATTACAGAATAAATAGAAAATTAAAACATGGCAGAAACCAATATGAACAGAAGACGACTAGCACAGGAGCCTACGATGTAAAAAGTGGCATCTTGATTGCGCATGCAGATTTGGTCAAATAAACAACACGGGGGGGAGATAAATAAACAACTGTGTTGTTTATCAAATGTAATTTAGACATCTTTTGCTCGTTGTACTGGGAGAAAAAGAATCACACTAACAGCGTATCTTAACAGCGTGAATGTTAGCTTTTAATAGTCTTTCAAAGAGCAACAAAAAATAATGTTTTCTGTTAATTACACAGCTCGGTACTGCTTTTCTTCTCTCCGTATAGAGAACAATTACGGGCAGATCACTTGCAAGATCAAGTGAATGGATTATTTTAGTCAAACCATCAAGTTATTTGTTTCCTTTTCACAAACGTACAAACAAACATCAAGTCCCTTTTTATATTTGGTCACACTGTCGTTCCTGTATTAAACTCAAAGTGCTAGTAATATTTTCATCTGAGATCTCACAGCTTGGCATTTCTGAACAACAAAAACACAAGGGGAATCTCACTGGAGGATCCCGAGTGTGGTTTACGGCCAGTTGAAGGTCCTGCCAGTGATCTGGTAGAACTTTTGATTGAAAGGGTGGAAGAACCTTTGCAATTTAGTCACCACCGACGGGTCCACCTCGGGATGGATGCGGCCTTTGCTGCCCGCCAGGCACTTGTTGAAGACAATGTTAAATCGCAAGCAGTAGAATCCCCTGGTGGCGTTGAAGTACAGGTTGTACCGGCTGATTCTCGAGGGCAGCTCGAGGAAGCGCTCAACAAGCTGCAGCTCTGGCAGCGGGTCTGTGATGAGGCGGTCCCCGTCCACGATGTGGAATTGCTCCACGGGGAAGTACTTGAGCCAGCGCTCCAAGTGTTTGGTGTAGATGCTGGTCCGCACCGCTTTGTACTTTGTGTTCACCTCGCAGGTGCCGGAATCCACGGCCAGCTTCTCAAACTTGTGGTAGGTTTTGTTTTTACGCTCCTTGCCCTCCAGCACCTGCGTGTAGTCGGACACCGCTCGGGTGGTGGGCTCGCGGACGATGATCAGCAGCTTGATGGAGGAGTTCATCTTGAAGATGCGTTCGGGGACCTCCTCCGTGATGAAGTAAGCGGGGCTCTTCTCGATGGTGATCTGGTGGGGGAAGGAGAAGGGCATTTTCTCGCGGTACCAGTCGATGCCCCGACCGTAGTTCTGGTCATTGTCAAAGAAGTGGATCTCCTGCGAGGCCTTGACCACCGCCGGATGCAGGTTAAGCATCTCCAGCAGGGCGCGGGTTCCCCCTTTACGAACCCCAATGATAATGGCCCGCGGTAGCTGCTGGACCAGGTTGTGCAGGCGGATTTGCTCTTTGGTGGCATTGCCCTTGCGCAGTTCATGGAGCAGGGCGCGCTTGAACTGCAGTGTTCGGAGAGGTATCTGCTCTGGATCAGGAGGGGGAAGTCGGCTCTCAATGGGGCAAATGGGCTGTAGCCTGAGAGAGACAAAAGTAAAAAAAGATATATCTTTACTGTCAGTGCTACAACAATTGACTTAATTCAAGAATCATTGATCACTTATTATCAAATGATCTTGTTGGCTAACCCTCATGCCTTTGGCCTTGTCAAAGATGTAGAATCTGTGAGAGATCTGTGGGTGGTACTTAAAGTTGGCTCAGACACTACTGTCCATGCCAGTGAGATTTTGTACAAAAAAGTGCCCTCGCTTTGTCTGTAACTGCAAATCTTAAATTCCTGAGAATTGTTTTCTTAAAATTGAAAACTGCACTGCATTCACATAAAATCCCACTGATCCTATATGAATTTGCCACATGATGGGATCTCCATTGTTTTCTTTACTTTAAAGAAAGACCATTTAGACTTTAAGGTTCAGTTACATTATTTTGACATTGTACAGTCTTAATGGCAGCAAGGCATTCTGGGACAGATGAGTATGTATAGTGAGCTCACATCTCACACTTATAAATTCTTGGTAATCTTTCATATACAACGACCGTCTCGGTGAGCTGTGAGGTTTTAAGTATGGCCCATAATCTGTATAAGAAGTGTTACGTGATCAGTGGTTTTGGGGTTGCATTTTTGAAGGCTTGAGTTTGGTTTTTCCCTCTTGCCATTGTTGTTTTTTTGTGTCACAAGAGAGTGGAGCGAAGCTCATTACCCTACGTGATGGTCGACTCTAAATGCGACCATGATTTACCATATCAATCATGCTGTATTGAAGAAGCCTGGAAACCAAAACTTGAGACTACAAGAGTAGGTTTTCTGACGCAATATATCAAGTGAGAAGTAGGGTAATTTTCTCATAGACATCCATTAAATTTAATTTTCTGAATTGGGAGGTGTTCGCCTGGTTTGGATTTTATAAGCTGCATTGGATCAATACAGTGGTCTGGCTGTGAACTTCTTGTGTAAAGTGGAGGATTCCCTTCATTGAATCCCTAATTCACTAAACTCTGCTATAGTAATCAGTGGATTGTGTAGTGACCGGGATGACTCACCTATCCAAGGTCCCAACCCTGGCCACGAGATAGAGGACACTTCCGATAGCAAGGCTGCCCAGAACGAAGAGCTTCTGTCTCAGCAATGCCTGCTGTTTGAATAGCATGGCCCTCCATCAATCTTCAGGACTGCGTCTTCAGCCTGCAGCAGGCAGAGTACATAAACCACTAATCACCAGGGGAAGAGAGACAGCCTAATGCTTATTAACACACACTCAATCAAGTCTTACAAGGGATTACGCCACACTCCCCTGAAAAAGTGCTGTAGTGCTATTAGAAAAAAATGCTCATTTACCAACTGCCACTTTGTTACACTTGTTACATTATCCCTGCAAATTCAAGAATGAGATCTGATCTAATGAACAGGTGTGCTGTGCAAGATCAAAGCTTAAGTTAGTCTTGCAACTTCTTTTTAAAAAAATAAAAAAATTGTAAAGATGTCTATGAGAAAATGACTCTGCTCCTCACTTGAGTTATATTAGTAAACATGTTTTAAATGATAAGTTTTATTGAATATGGCATCATATTTAACACTTTGTTTAGTAAATCATGATTATGAAAATATACCATAGAGCAGGATAAATAGTATGTACTATTTTTGGTCACTTGGGGGTCACTTTTAGAAACAAAATTGATTTTTCCAAGACACAAACTTTAGCACTCCTTTCAACTGCATTCCAGATCTACTCTCTACTTATAATAGCATTTTTCTTTTATTTATGTGTCTTTTATACGTCAGCCTTTGGTGCGCAAAAACCTTGAGTTGCAGGACATAAAATCCAGGACACTGCTAAGAAAGGCTAAATTGCTTGGTAGAACTGAGGGGAGCAGATGTTTTACACTATTATATGTGGGTTGGTCACTATGAGCAACACATTTCAGATCACAAAAAGCTATTTGATGTATTACTATTGTACAAATATTGATTAGTGCCGGTTTAATGATATGGTATTTTTTATTTGTGATTTACAAATCCGACAGTATGACAATCTCAAAATAGAGCAAAAAGATACAAGAATGATTCGTGAAATCCACCCAGGTTAAGAATAAGTTGAGTGTGTTTTAGCACCATTTTTTGGGGTAATTGTAATTGTAAATGTGAAAACATTTGGGTGACTCTTGGGAAATCTGTGCGGCCTGTTACCAAATGGCCCGGTGGTTGGGGACAACTGATCTAAACCTATTATCTTTTTTATTTCATTTAGGACCAAATTCCAAACACTCTTGATTTTTTGTTCTTGACTTCAATAACAGGACACCCTTTAAAATCGTCCTCTCTAAACATCTACCAACAACCAGTACAGATATAAATATTATGTTGACATTAATGTCCCTTTAGACCTTTTAAGGAGAATTCATCTCTTTATCCAAAAGAAGACACCACACCTTCTCATCAAGATGCAGCACAGACATGTTTGTCTTGTGAGAGTTTCTCAGGTTTTTATTCTTTTGTTGGTCGATACCTGAGCCCTTTCCACATCTGCAAGCATATCACGGTGTGACTGGCTAAATCACATTACAGAGTAACAGATCCATACAGAGGTCGTAGCGTTATTACAAAAGGGCAGACTGCACTCGACTGCCTACCATTACCAATAGAGCGGATCCTCGGCAGCATGTCATAGACAAGAGCGAGCTTCCGATCCCAGCGTGACTGAAAAACATTTCACTCATATTGCCTCGTGGTGACTTCTGAAGGGAGGCCAGCAGAGCATTTGCAATTTCATCCGTCTGCCATAAAGGAAGAATAAAGCCTGTGGCCAGATTGGTGTTAGTCCCGTTTAGAAAAGAAATGTTTATCTTCACAGCCCGTATCTCTGAATCAAGCAGGAGGATGTCAATTACATTGTAAGAGACAGTGAGATCCTCCTTGTGGCAGTGGCAAGCAATGGCAAGTGAGTGGCAACTCTGTGGCAAGCAGTAGCGAGTAGCAGTAGTGAGTGGCCATCGCTAGTAAATCAGTGGCAACAGTGGCAAGTCTGCGGCGGGCGTCACAACGGCACGCTGGGTGGGCGGAGCAAAGTTTTCCCAGAAACCGTTGTGTGTACGACAGGTCAGCTGCCGTAAATACTTAAAACCAGAGCCCCCGTTTTCTTAGAGCAGGGGCTAATTTTAGGTTTGGATCAGATACAGCCCACCTCAAGTCCAGCGGGTTCCATGTGGGGGTGGGGTTCCGTGTGTCACGGATCTCCCCGTCTCGTTCCCCCGACTCCTCCAGTCCCGGCTCCCCCGACGCCTCCAGTCCCGGCTTCCCCGATGCCTCCAGTCCCGGCTCCTCCGACGCCTCCAGTCCCGGCTTTCCCGATGCCTCCAGTCCCGGTTCCCCGATTTGCGCACCCGACGCCTCCAGTTCCGTGGTCCTCTCCCACCCCCCCTTGGTGTTCTGAGGACCATCTGGAATCCGGCCCTTGAGGCCCAACCCGGGTTGTGGCACGGGTTGGGCCGGCACCCCTCTGCCCGGCTCCCTGTGACCTGCAGCCGGCGCCGTCGAACCCGGCTTCCCAGAGCCCGGCTCTTGTCCGCCCACTGGGCCCACCAGGCCGACCCCTGGAGGCTCCTCATCCCGTTGTCCTGTGTTCCTGACCCTTGGACACAAATTCACTTCCTGCCTTGTCCTGTCATCCCCTGTGATTGTCTGATTGTTTCCACCTGTGTCCAATCACCTGCCCCTCCTAGTGTATTTAAGCCCTGCGTGTCATGTGTCCTTTGTTAAATCATGACTGAATGTTGATTTTTCAACCCTGGATGTCTTGCCTGTTCCTAGTTCCCGTCTGCGGTTTTCCCTTTTAGAATTTTGACTAACGTTCCTTTTTGTTTCCAAATCTGCGTTTGAGTCCTGCCTCCACATACCCGTTCCTGACACTGTGTGTGTGTGGCGGCGGGTGGCTGTTGTAACTCTGTGGCACGTCAGGGGCAATATATACACTCACCTAAAGGATTATTGGGAACACGTGTTCAATTTCTCATTAATGCAATTATCTAATCAACAAATCACATGGCAGTTGCTTCAATGCATTTGGGGACGTGGTCCTGGTCAAGACAATCTCCTGAACTCCAAACTGAATGTCCGAATGGGAAAGAAAGGTGATTTAAGCAATTTTGAGGGTGGCATGGTTGTTGGTGCCAGACGGGGCGGTCTGAGTATTTCACAATCTGCTCAGTTACTGGAATGTGAATTTTCACGCACAACCATTTCTAGCGTTTACAAAGAATGGTGTGAAAATGGAAAAACATCCAGTATGCGGCAGTCCTGTGGGCAGAAATGCCTTGTTGATGCTAGAGGTCAGAGGAGAATGTGCCGACTGTTTCAAGCTGATAGAAGAGCAACTTTGACTGAAATAACCACTCGTTACAACCGAGATATGCAGCAAAGCATTTGTGAAGCCACAACACGCACAACCTTGAGGTGGATGGGCTACAACAGCAGAAGAACAGGCATCGTTTAAATGCCACGACCTACCTGAGCATTGTTTCTGACCATGTCCATCCCTTTATGCCCACCATGTACCCATCCTCTGATGGCTACTTCCAGCAGGATAATGCACCATGTCACAAAGCTCAAATCATTTCTAATTGGTTTCCAGAAAAATATATATACCAAAAAATCATATTAAAAAAATAATTTTAACATATAAAAACATGAGGAATGAATCAACTAAACAATAACATACACATTTTGTAATTACATTTATTTGAGCTGTAGTGTTGCCTGCAACTGTAATTTCACCAAACATTAAATAAAAATAGGGAAATAACTTCATACTAAAGATCAAGCTACATGGGATATGTACAAAGGATTCGTTAACATAAAAAGTTATTTATCAAACCATTTCAAGACGATTCATTATTTACATAATGTGCATGTTATGTTTCACAATGCCAATTACCATTACAACAATTTATTAAACACATGTAGTATATATACAGAAACAACTATTTCTTGATATAGCTTACCATTTGTTTTTTGACCTGTCCCACAACATAGGCAGGGACTGCTGACTTCCGAATCAGTTTACGGTTTGCACTATTAATGTGATATTACAAAACATTGTTTTTATAAATACACTTAACCATCTTCAAAGGGATCTCGGCCCTGCTGTAAATAATGTCTTGTCTAGTGGCAAGACACACATAAAACATAGTAATCCACTTTCTTTTAGTGTGTTTTCAAAAAACTTTAACAGAGAGACTAAAAAAAGAGAAGAGATTTAGTTCAAAAGTGTTGGGAGAAAACTGATCTCATGCACTAATTTACACCACAAAAAGCAATGAGATGCAGCCATTCTCAATTCAATAGACATGCTGCTACAGCTTTACATTATCAGGTATCATCATTAGCTGTCAGGGGAATGTTATTAAATGTTAGATTTACATTTGTTTGAGTGACTCTCACATTACTTTCGGGTTTAACCATATTCCTATAATTGACACTTCACTCACAGTGCATTATATCGTTTTGATGGAAAATATGTCAAAGCTATCCATGTTACCCCAGGTTGAGTACAGGTTTTAGTGGGTCCAACCATCTCACAGTCGCACAAAACTTTGAAAAGACAAACCGTGTTCGATGGAAGCGGTAACAAAAGATGACCATGCTACTCTTCATAAAAACGTTACATAGGACTTGTTTACATTCACATATGTGTATATGCCTTTTGAAAAGTAAGAAAATAAGTATTGTGAGGACCAATGGCTTCATATCACTGACCCCAAAGTTCCATTTCCACAGTTTGACCACTATGTCAGATTTGCTTCAAAAGGACAGCCGCCTTTAACAAAGACTAGGGTTAGAAGATTATTTATTTACAGTTCATACCTTCTACTTCTTCTACCCTTTTGGATTACAAAATACAGTGTCAAGCCGCATTGAGCACTAACCCCCCTAAAAGGCGTCAGCGCGTCTGATCTGCATTTCTTTCCTTCTGTGGTGAAATCAAAAGTTTTGACCACTGAATGGAGAAAATTTGTATTCTTGTTTCTAAGACTTCACTGCCAAAACTCAAAAAAAGGTTAAATTGGATTACAGTTGGTATTTTTGAAGCCAATGGAGCAGATCGTCCATATGTACAGGGCCTCAAAGCAGGTCTCGCCAGACTTTTTTGTACTAATGAACAGTGACTACACCTTATTACTTATTCATAA